ATATATATATATACAGTATTTCTCTTTTTCATTGCAAAAATCATGCACATTTCATGTTGCCCATTTTTTGTTAATTGTAAGTCATTCTTATCCTTATTCATACTTTTATTTCTATATTTTCCTTGTGTGAATTTGCCTATCACTTTGCAGCTGATGCACCCAAACTTCACCACGATAAAGGCTATTTTTATTCTTTTTTTCTTTTTTTCTTCTACAAACTGTAAAGGAGAATATTCTTTATAAATATATAAACCCTATATATTTATATGCCTTCCTTTTTAGTTGTTTTTTTTTTTTACTTTTAATTCAGGCAGTGCATACTTTCTCCGCCGACATTAAATTCATTCATTCATCGTCATTTATAAAATGCTCTCAAATGTTCTGTTCAACTAAAAAATATTGTTCTCAAAGAGATGATGGGGAGGAATGTAAAAGCTGAAAATAATCAGAAGCTTTGATTGATGCTTCTCCGAAGCAGTCAGTGATTTATTTAAACTCTAACCTGTCGATGCCGTAGATGTAAACAATAGCAATCAACTCAAATAATCCAATGGAAAGAAGGGGAACTGATCCAGCAAAGTTGTCGAAGAGAGTCACCCAATAAATTCCTGAAGGCTGTGCAAACAGCAGGCAGATGATAAAAGCTGTGATGCAGGTCACTCCTGAAACAAGAAAGCAATGTTTGGGTCAGAAACAATGAGCTCGTTTGGATTAAAAATAAGAATATCCAAAGTAATTTAGGTAAAGTAGAGTAGCTACCTGTCAGAGCTTCTTGAGGCCATGTTTTAGGTAACATATTCAAGTCCTTCAGTGGGACCACCACTCCCTCTATGTTTCCAAACAGAGTTGAGAGTCCCAGGCAGAGGAGCATGATGAAAAACAGGACGGACCACATCGGGGAGCCGGGCATCTTGGTGATGGCCTCGGTGAAGACGATGAAAGCCAAACCTGTTCCCTCCACTCCCTGAACAAGCCAGCAGACTACAGATGAGAGGAGGAACAAAAAGACGAAGGGGATGTAGATACATTTTATAAAAAATAGTCACCTCACTGAGAAGTTTCTGCATGTCACAGGTTCGAATGTCCAGTCCAAGAACGACATCAGGAAAGGAGCTGTTCAGCTCATGAAAGACAGCATCGTAGTTGTTTGTAGTGATGTTGTCCTCAGGAAGTGAAAAAGTGTTCAATAAAGTTTTGATGTTACTGAAGAAGAAAAAATGTCAGAATTCAGTATTTGTGGGTCACTGAATGCAACAAACACAAACATATTGCGCACATGAAAAAAATCTGATGATTAATATTGCCTTATCTTACTTGAAATTCCTATATTTATTTTATTCCTTTATTTGCAGTTTTGCAGACTTTAAAAATTAACATTTAGATCTCCTTTTATTTGTTATGCTTTTTTCTGTTTCTGCATTTCAGGCAAAAGACACTATTTAAAACCATCTAGCCCAAGTGTCAAACTCAAGACCAGCAGGCCAAATGTGGGCCACTGTGGCATTTTATGTGGACCCACAAGAGCTTCAAAAATATACAGTATATGTGTCTTAAAATAAGCATAAGCTGCTTTAAAGTCAGCATTGACCATGTTTATATCCACGTTGATTATTTTAACAACAAAATGACGGCATACTACTGTCCAGAAACCACAAAAAAATTGTTATACAAAGTCTCCATTGCTGCATTTTCACTGGCTACTTTTGCTGCAGCCAAGTTCTACTGGGAAATGTTAATTTTGCCACTTACAAGTGGTAACATTAAACATGAACTCCCCTCCAGTGGGAATTCTCTGTTGCAAAGTGGACAAATTCAAGGTGGCAGACTCTTCCCACAACTCTACAATAATTAAAACTCTTACTTTTATTTTATAGTACTTCTGTGTTATTTATCTGACATGCACTCAGTCATACATGCAGTACTTTTCCATTTTTACAAGAGAATTTGTAAAAACACTGTTTCTGTGCAGGAAATACCATGTAGAGCCCAGTTACTGTTTGATAGTGGTGCTCAGCCATCGAAGAGCATGACATTTTGTGTTTAGTCAAAGTTAAACATGAAATGTCAAAGTTAATTAAAAAGTTAATTACAACTGGCCTTTTGTGGGCCACCCTAATACTCTTACGGCTCTTGGTTAAAATAAATTTGATACCCCTGATTTAGACTGTAAAACTTTTAATCTATTATAATGTCATTTTTTTTAATCACGTAAAAAATGGTTTAGCTTTAAGGACACTTCACAAATGGTGATGTGTAAAACTGTGTAGCAGTACAAAATAGTCTGTCATATTTTTAGTTTCAGGTCAGATCAGAGCCTAAGTGTTACCAGTCAAACACTTGTGTAGCCATGTCAAAAACGTTACAAATGAAACTGAGAAAGCATCTCTGTGTTTTTCTAACCAGAGTGATGATACATGACCATAGTAACAAGGTAAGAAATTGTTTGCAAGGTCCAGTTTCCCTTTATATACTGAGACTACTCACTCACTCATACAAGTGTCATAGTTCTCAGTGGCCCTGAAGCCAATGATTGTATATGTGACGGTGGCAGCATAGACTGAGGTGAGCCCGGTCACGGCAGTCAGGATCACAGCATCTTTCATGCAGTTGTTGCTGTGAGATAAAAGAAAACAGATTATTTAGACCAAATGTCTTTAAGTGAATTCTTGTCCTACTGAAGGCTTCCAAGTTCCTCTTACTGAACAGGGTTGTAGCTCGAGAAGGAGATCAGGCCTCCCCATGCTATGCTGAAGGCATAAAAGACCTGAGCACCAGCGTCCAGCCACGTTGTTGGTTTAGTCAACTCATTTACCTGCAAGAGTGGAGACAAACAGCACGGAGTGATGCAGATTTGCATTACGATACCTGCAGATTGCTTTCCGACATGGAAGTTAGAAACACACATCTGGCGTGAAGAGGTATTCTATTCCACTCAGGGCACCTTTCAGAGTCAGTCCTCGGACCAGGAAGATGGCCAGCACTACGTATGGCAGGATGGCTGTGATGTAAACTGCCTGAGGTCCCAACGAGAGATATAAACAAACATAAAGAAACAATGGAAGCAGCTGTTAGGTGTTTGGGCTTTGACGGTCTACAAACCTTTCCTGATGTACTGATCCCTCGAATGTAGGCAACGCAGATGACGGTCCAGGCAGCAAACAGGCAAAGCACCATGGGCCAGTGGACTCCCTCAGAGTTGTCTATGGCGGTCGAACTGTTCAGAGTCACTCTGTAAAAGTAGTAATCCACAGTGGAGCTTTGCTGGCACTCAGGTACAAATTCTGCAGAGGCATGAAACAATCAGTCTTTTTGACCGAAACTGTAGTGAGCTACTATGTTTGGCTGTGTGAGTTCTGTTTTTAAAGACCTGTACTGTTTTCATTGAGAGGGCATTGGGTCCAGGGTAATGGGTCTTGAAAGGAGTTGAAGAAATACCACAAGATCCAGGCTATCAACGTGTTGTAGTACAGCCCGATTAGCAACGACACCAACATGGAGGCGATACCTGAGGAGGACAATGTCAATGATAAAGCTCCTCCAAGACTTATGATCCAAAGGTGGATCAAAAATGAGCACACTTCTGAAGCCTTTACTTCACTTTTTGATTCTGCCTCTTTAGATTCTAGTATCACTAATGTGGACTCATATGTTTCATGTTTTAATGCTCATTGTATAAATATTTTGGACACTATAGCACCTCTAAAACTGAGCACTGTGCAGCGCACAAACTGTCCTTGGATTAATAAGGAAATCCTTAGTATGAGGAGTTTGCTGTAAGGCTGAGCATCAGTGGAAAAGAACCAAGCTGGAGGTTCACAGGCTTTGTCTTAAAGAACTGATCAGCTCCTTAAATGAGATGCTCAAAACCGCCAGAACCAGTTATTTTGCAAATATCATCAAATCCAAAGGAAGAAATCCAAAAATCTTGTTTGACACAATCAAGAACATTGTTTCACCTACTTTTTCTACTGCAAGTGCTTTCACAAATGCAGATTGCAATCGTTTTTTAAATTATTTTATAGACAAAGCTGCCAGCATCAGGGCCTATAGCTCTCCCTCACCATCCCTCTGTCTGGTCCCTCCTCCTGTGACCTCGGATACATGGTCCTCATTCACCCCAGTGACAATTCAGGACATCACAGAACTGTTGGGTCGAATGAAAATGTCCTCTAGCCCCCTCGATGTCCGGCCCTCTTCTCTTTTTAAAGATATTTTGAATTGTATTGGCCCAAGTGTTGTAAAACTGATGAATTACTCCCTTGGTTCTGGTTCTGTACCCCACTGCTTTAAAAAGGCTGTTGTCTGTCCTCTGTTTAAAAAAGCCTAATTTGGACTCTTCTCTGCCTGAAAGCTACAGACCGATCTCCAAACTACCATTTTTATCAAAAATCCTGGAGAAGGTGGTAGCTGAACAATTGATTTGCTTTTTGGAGGAAAATGACATTATAGACATTTTTCAGTCTGGGTTTTGCAAATTGCACTCTACAGAAAAAGCTTTATTAAAAGTGATAGAGTTTTATTGAATTTATTAAACTTCTTAAGGTGTTTCAAATAAAGTCTTGAGGTACGTGACAAATGTATTATTCATCATGGCGTGTCCACAGAGTGCAGCAGACAGAAACTGCTCTAAAGCAGAGCTGGTAAGACAAAACAAGTCTGTGTTGTTTTTACTATTATTCACATATTAAACCCCAGCAACAAGTGTTTTGATTGGTTCCTATGCCTATGACAAACCACATAACTGATCTCTGATTTGTTGTAACATTGTGTGACTTCATTCCTACGTGTGTGAAWAAAACGACTGTTCACGCCCCCAGAGGTCAGAAYTTCTCTGTGCTTCACTGWGCTTTCGAGCAAAGTTAAGTATCTCAGAATTTCTCCTTTGCAAAGTGAAACAAAAAATCTTACTGGTCTCTGTTGTCATTGTTTTAATGTTAGGCGGGGTTGTTGTGTTTTTGTGAGTTCTTAGGTAAAAAAAAACCGAACAAAAAGTTTCAAGTGACTTGTTGATGGCAGTTGATTCTGGAAACTACACTGTGCTGGTTTTATTGGACTTAACTTCAGCCTTCGACACCGTGGATCATTCTGTTTTTATCAACAGACTGAGAGATTTGTTTGGTATTTCTGGCTCTGTGTTAAACTGGTTCACCTCTTATTTATCTGAATGGTCTTTTACTGTTTTTATGAATCAGGATTACTCTGATTTGCACCGCTGTCTTGTGGGGTACCCCAAGGTTTAGTTTTGGGTCCAATCCTCTTTTTATTGTACCTATACCCTTTAGGAGATATTTTAAAATGTTACAGTAATGTGTCATACCATCTGTATGCTAATGACATACAGTTGTACTGTTCCTTTCGAGCCTCTGAGTTCTTCAAACTAAACCCCTGGCAAAAAGTATGGAATCACCAGTCTTGGATGAGCTCTCATTCAGACATTTCATTCTGTAAAACAAACACAGATCAAAAACATGATACAATAATAAGGTCATTCCAAAGTGCAACTTGTTGGCTTTCAGTAACACTCAAAGAAATGAAGAGAAAACTTTGTGGAAGTCCGTGAATGTTACTTTTATTGACCAAGCACAGGGAAACAAATATGGAATCACTCAATTCTGAGAGGAAAAAGTATGGAATCATGAAAAACAGATAAACAAAAGACCATTGAAAATACATCACTAGTATTTAGTTGCACCACCTTTGGCTTTTATAATGGCTTGCAGTCTCTGAGACATGGACTTGATGAGTGACAAACAGTATTCTTCATCAATTTGGTGCCAACTCTCGTTGATAGCAGTTGTCAGATCAGCTTTGCAGATCGGAGCCTTCTTGTGGACCTTTTTTTTTTTTTCAATTTCCACCACAGGTTTTCAATTGGGTTGAGATCTGGACTATTTGCGGACCATGACATCGACTGAATGTGTCTTTCTCCAACGAATGCCTTCACTGTTTTTGCCCTATGGCACAATGCATTGTCATCTTGGAAAATTATTTCATCACCTCCAAACATCTGTTCAATTGAAGG